CCTCTAGAGTGTCTCACTCGGTGCTCTCATCAGCCCATAGGCTCAATCATAATCTTTAACGCAAATTATTTTCACATTTTTATCCAGCTCTACCTTCTCTCTTAGACTCAATTCTCCAACTGCCCATTGGACATCTTGAACCAAATGTCCCACAGACACCTTAAACTCAATATGTCCAAAACTGAACTCATGAGCTTTTTCCCAAAACCCTCCCCTCTTCCTGACTTCCCCGTTACTGTCGAGGGTAACCCAGTCACCCAGACTGGTAACCTAGGGGCCATCCCCAACAACTCACCCCGCCATATCTCCTATGTTGCCAAATTCTGTTTGTTCTGCCTTTTTTAGCACCTCTGGTATACCCCTGATTCCCCTCTGACACTGCCACTAGCGTGGCACATGCCTTCATCACCTCCCACGTGGACTATTACAATAGCTGCTGGTTGATTTCCTTGCCTCAAGTCTCTCCCCACTACCGTCCATTTTCCACTCTGCCATCAAACGTATCTGCCTTAAGTACAAGTCTGACCACATCTGCCTTTTCATCAATAAACTCTGGCAGCTCCCCACCATTGCTGTTTGCCCTTCGTTCTTGAAGAGGACCACGACATCAGGGAGGTGATGCCATGACCTGCAAGTGAATTGAATTTAAGTGAGGAGGGCTGTGCAAAGTCACCAGCCTCATTCTCACCTTGGGAGCCATCTGGGTCTAACAACAACATAGCAAGATATAGATCAGAGGGGCAGCTAGGTGGCACAGTGAATAGAACTCTGGTCTTGGAGTCAGGAGGACCTGAGTTCAAATCCAGCCTCAGACACTTAACACTTACTAGCTGTGTGACCTGGGCAAGTCACTTAACCCCGATCGCCTCACCATAAAACAAAAAACAACAACAACAACAACAACAAAAGATACAGATCAGGACAGGTGGAGATGGCCCCAGCTCTCTATTACCTTCAGATCAAAAGAAGGAAAATCCCGTTTGATGTTTAAAGCTCTTCACCACCTGCCTTCCTGTCTCCTGCATCAAGTGACCCCAGTGTACTCTGCCACCCAATATGGTGGCTGGGTGAATGAAGAGACGGGAAAATGCCAAGATGTGGCAGGTGTCTGGATACAAGGGTGAGAGTGAGCAGGGAAAGATGGCTCTGAGCCTGGCTACTGAAAAGGAGACGGTGCCCTGGTAGTATCAGCAAAGCCTGGAAGAGGAAGGGGCTGGAGCAGAAAGACAGAGAACCGTTCAGGGCACACTGAGACGCCTCTGAGACATCCAGCTCACAGGGCAGCGATTGATAAAGGTTTGTTGATTGTCCCAAGGTTGGCCCATGAAGAGTGGATTTCACGGGGTTGACTTATTTTTATACACAAAGGGAACTCTCTCCAGCTAACACAACCTATAATTCCTCCCCAGTTTAGTGGGGGGAGTAAAAACAAAAAAGCAATCCCATTTACTATCCCTGTTAGACAGAAAAGGAAACTGAGGCTGGGAGAGAAGTGATGTAGCCAGCATGACACAAGGACTGATCAGCCTCTCTGCACCTGGCTAAGCTGGGTCTCAGGTGGCCCATTCCTAGCTTCCCAGGTCGGTAGAACCCACCAGACCTGGACTAACCTTCTAAAACTTGGAATTACCTCCGTGCCCAGATGAGGCGGCAGAGGAAGGCTCTGCTATCCTGGCTTCTCTTATTAGATGGACATTTTGTCAAGACACTGGTAGAATTCCTCTTCCATAAAACATTCATGGCCATTGGATGCTCGGCAGGACGGGAAGGTAAGAGACCCTGCCCTTGGCTCTGGCACCGAACGGCCGTGGGACCTCAGACAGGTCACTTCTCTCTGAGCCACAGTTTCACCAGCTGCCAAAATGAGATAGTGATTCAATGGCCCTCCACGACCCTTCTAGCGCAGACATTCTCTATTTATACCTTGGCCTTGGGAGTCAAAGGAGACAGCAAGACGTTGTGGGAGAAGCCCTGGACTGGGGAGTCCAGAAGAGCACCTCAGCCGCCTAAGGGATCCAGCTCCCCTATTCTGCAGATGAAGAAACAGAGTCTGAGAGAAGTTAAATGTCTCGCCCAGGGTCACACAGGGAGACCTGTGAAGCAGGACTGGAACTCCACCCCGCTCCAAAGCCGACACTTACAAGCTGTCTGAAACTCCTTGGGCCTCAGTTTCCTGATCTGTAAAAAATGAGGAATTAGATTTCATGGCTTCTGAGGTCTTTTCCAGCACTGAATCTATGGTCCTTTGATCTGCGATGCTCGAAGCTGAAAGTTTGGAAGGCTCTTTAAGGTTCTGGAGAGCTAAAAGAATCTTCTTTCCTCCCCTCATCAGGTAATTTCGGGCTTCCCAGACCATCGCATGGAATGGAACAGTCCATGCAATGTCCTCTCCCCAGACTTGTCTTTGCATTCATGCAATCTCCCAAGCTTGGAAAGGGCACAGGATTTTGAGTCAGGAGACTCAGATGCAACAATTGTTAGCTCTGCAGCCAAAGGCTAGTCACTTCTGAGTCCCCAGCCTCAGTCTTCACAGCAATAAAATGGGGATAACAGCCATACCTGTAGTACTTATTCTTGTGAATAAAAAGAGAAGATGGAGAGCGCTTAAGGCCTGTCCCCTCCAAATCTGATGCCTGGAGCGTTCTTAATTCTGCCAAGGGCGCTACTGCCTTCCCAATCACCCTTTAAACTCCTTCCTCACCTCCATGGCCAAGTAATGGTGGGGTCTGACCCCGAATTTCTCTCATGACCCCTACCTGGGTCCCACCCCTCACCTCTTACCTGGACTGTTCCAGGAGCCTCTTGGTTACCTCCCTGCCTCAAGTCCCCAGACCTAACACTCCCACCTCCACACCTTTGCACATGCTGGTTCCCCCACCCTCTCTACCTGGATGGATCTTAGAATGCTAAGCTCCCAGGCTCAGCTCAGAGACTGCCTTCTCGGAAGCCTCTCCTGATCCCAGCTCTCTTCCTCCAGAACTAACCAAGTTTCCTATTTCCCTTTACACCTATTCCCGATAAGAATGTCAGCTCCCTGAAGACATAAATGTCTACTATCATCATTACTGTTGCCTCAGGACACACCCCCATGATGTAGGCAAGAGGCATTAAGATCATTACCCCCATTGTCCACGTGAGGAAACTAAGGTTCAGGGCAAGGAAGGAAGACTCGCAGGTTTATGAAGCTCAGTGAGTATGAGAGCAGGGAGAGGGATCACAGAATCTGGAGGTGGCAGAGATCTCAGAGGCCCTGAAGGGGTCTGACCAGTGGTCTTCCAGCCTTTGCTTGAAGACAGCCAGAGACAGGGAGCTCACTACCTCTCACGGCAGCACTCTGGAGCAGCTGTTACCATAGAGGTAAAGAGACTTACCCAGAGTCACCCAGCTAGAGAGCAGGATTTGAACCTGAGTCCTGCTTGACTCATAATCTAGTAGAAAGTGTCCTTAGAGACCTGCAGGGGGTCCAACAATGCTGCCTTTGCTGTTGGCACTCCTACTATTCCCCAGAGCTTTGGACTTGGGAGTCCCAATACATGAGTTCAAATGGCGGTTCTGACAGTTATTAGTAAATAACTCCTTCTCCACAAAGCCTCTTCCCAAGCCCATTGGGCTCCTTCCCTCTGTAGACTGGGAGTTCCCTGAAGGCAGGGTCTGTCTTTGCCTTCCTTTGTACCCCTAACCCTTAGCAGAGTGCCTGTTCCATGGGAGGCACTCATGTTTATTGACTGACTTTATAACCCGGGAGCTAGTGACTTGGACTTTCTGGGCCTCAGTTTTCTCAAAAGTCAAACGGGCACAATTACACCTCTAATGACTACCTCCTAGAGTTACTGGGAGATCAGAGGAGTTTAAAAGGATGTCAGGCACTTTGCAAACACCTCAGTCAGTGGACCATCCTGGGGACAGTTTCTGTCTTCTTTGTATGCCAGGGCACACAGTAGGCACTTAATAAGTGCCTGCTGCCTTGACTTGACTTAGGCACTTCCCTCCTCCAGGAAAGTGGGACAGAATAATGTCGTCCAAAGGCTGCTAGGACCTAAGGGCTTGAGGCAGGATTTGAACAGATCCCACAGTCAGGGCTCTAAGGCCCATGTGATCCAACTCCCTCATTTTTCAGGCAAGGAAACTGAGGCCCAGGAAGGAGACAGGGGTGCTCAGGGTCAGAGGAGGAAAGACCTGAAGCAGATTTTGCACCCAGGCCCCCAGACACAAAAGCAAATGTTCTTTGTACTGGGCTATCTGAGGTCGTGAGAAAGCAGCCAGCGCTATTCTCTCACCTGGCAGAGAAGGAAACTGAGATGTAGAAAGGACCAGGGACTGGTTTAAGTACAGAAGGAACGCCCCAAAGAGAGATCCCCCTACCTTCCCCACCCCCATTTGACCCCGCCCCTCGTGCTCTAGTCCCGCCCCGCTCTGGCCACGCCTCATGCTCCAGCCCCGCCCCTGCCACTCCGGTCCCCTAACGCTTCTAGCTGGTGCCTGTTGGCGCGCGCCCCTGATTCTCCCCCCCACCCCCAAGCTCGCGAGAGGGGGGAGGGGGGTTACTTCTCGGGAGCTGGAGGGGAGGGGAGAGGGAGCGGAGGATAGAGCAGAGCGTGCTCACCTTCTCCGAGCGTTCTGCTCATGTGACCGCCCCGCCCCTCCCTTCCGCCCCGCCTCCGCTCCAGGCCCCGCCCAGGTCACGTGCCTCTCGTCACGCCAGCCACAAGCGGACGGCGGCCGGGAGGCGGAAGTGGCGGGCGCTGTCGGCCGCTCGCTTCCCGTCGGGCTTCTGAGGTGAAGCGAGCGCCCGAGAGAGCGCGGGGCGGCGGTGTCAGCAGCGGCAGCTGGGGTCCCGGTAGCCTGCCAGTCAGCCCGCCCGCGCGGCGGTGACGGCGGCCTCCCCAGGCCAGTCCGGCGGCCTGCGTATCTGCCCTTCCCCAAGCGTCCGGGAAGGGGCCCGCATCGTCGCCCCCGGCCCGGCCCGTCCCGTCCCCGCCTGGGCCCGTCGGGGCCCGCGCCGGGCTGCGCCTGCCCGCCCTATGAGTGTGTCACTGGTTGTGATCCGACTGGAGCTCGCGGACCACTCGCCCTTGCCCGCCGGCTTCGGCTTCAGCGCGGCCGCTGGTGAGTGCCCCCGGCCTGGACCCGGAGCGGCGCCCTTAGGGTGGGGGTTGGGAGGGTGGGGCTGCCAGCCTGAACGGGGCCCTGCCCTCCGGCGAGGGGGATCCTAACGAGAGGGGAAGGGAAGGGCTGCCAGAGGGGGCCCCGGCCGTTCTGGCGGGGGTAGGTGGTGGGAGTGGGGCTGCAGGCCTGACGGGGGCAGGATTATCAAAGGGGTGCTGCCTGAGGTGGGGGGACGGGAGTGGGGTGGGCGGTGAGATCCCCCCCCCCCCCCCCCCCCCCCCGCGCCCCCCCCCGGAGCGGGGGCGGCTCCCCTGCCGTGAATCCTCTGCCCTCCCCAGCTTCTCTGGCTGCTCTCCCCTCCCCCTCCCCCTCCCCTTCCCCCTCCCCCTCCCCTTCCCCCTCCTTCGCTCCCACGCTGGGTCCCCTGGGTAGCGCGTCCTCTCTAGGCTCCTCCCACAAACAAGTACCGGAGGACCTCCGCCCCTTCTTCGTGTCCCCCTTCCCCTTCTCCTCCCTCTGCTCTTCCTCTGCCTCCTCCTCTTCCTCCTCCTTTCTTCCCCCTCCCAAAGAGAGGTTTCTTGGAACTGCCTCGAGTGCTAGACCCCCACCCTCCTCTGAGGCTCAGCTGCAGCTGTGTGGACCCCCTCTTCTGGGATCTTCTCTGATCTCCAAAATGGGGAGCATAACACCTCAACTATCGACTTTTATGGATTATTGGGAGGAAAGCACATTTTAAGTAAGTCTTCGAGTGCTTTCAAATGGCGGGGAGTTAATTGTGGGCAGAGGAGTACAAGTACAGAAATGTGACGCCAAGCCATCCTTGTAGGAGTAGGACTGAGCAGTCACCAAAGATAGGACATTCATGTCAGGCAAGGCAGGGAACCGGAGATAACGAACTTGACAATCAGTCAGTAAACAGTAAGTGACTACTACGTGCCAGTCACTATGCTAAGTACTGGGGATACAAAAAGAGGTGAAGAGTCGTCCTGTCCTCAAGGAGCTCACAAATCTAATGGAGGAGACAACATGAAAACAAATACATACAAAGCAAGCTGTACACAGGATAAATAGGAAATAATTAACGGGGAAGGCTTCTTGTCAAAGGTGTTTGACATTCCCATGGAGATCCAATGCAGAGTCCAAGAGAGACTTCCCTAGGGGAGGGTAAGTTATCTGGATACTTCTATCGTGGATGACGTGCTGCTTGCATCGAGCCCTGGAACATTATAGAACCTCCTGAATGAGACCCATAACCTCAAAAGTTTAGCATAGAAAAACTGAGTGGTTAAAGGATACTTGCTCTCTAGCCTGACACTCCTCGAGATGGGCATCCTATGGTGCTTATTTGTTAGTATATGTACCTTGGACAGATTTTGCAAGTGTATATTGAGATGAGCCCAGATTTAAGCAAGAAAGAGCAAGATAGAATATATTTGGGAAATGCCATGGTTCTTCTAAATGACCCCAAATTTTTCACTGAATCAAAGGTTAATACCAACATTGTACCCGTGTTATGGCCAAGAATTGTGAATGATACAGTCTCTGAAGGATTAAAAATGAATATTACTAAGAGGGAAGAAGAGAGAGCACGTGGTGTTTGTGAGCAGGTTGCAGCACTTGACAAAGAAGGAATTAGGAAGAACTGGAGTAATTTTTTAAAAAGGTTATATAGATGGATAATGTATGCTCCCCTGGTATTTTTGAGATGTCAAGAGAAATCAAGAAAGGCTTCCAGCACTTTGGGAGACCTCTTGCAGCATACTTAGAGAAGGATAAGAATAGCAGTTACACTGCTTCTAGGCATGGGCAGGTTGTGATCATCATCAGTGAAGGAACTATCCACATCATGGAGATCCTCACTCACTTGTAGTGTTATATTGTTCAGTGTTTTCATTTCTGTAGCAAGGCAGTGTAAAATAGCAGAAGGAACTTGGGCTAGGAGTCAGGAGCCTGGAATTCTGGTTCAGAGTTCTTTCATTTCCCAGCTGAAGTAAGGTAAAATGCTTAATCTCTCTGAGCCTCAGTTTCTTCATGTAAAATAAGATCGTCTTAAATGATATCTAAGGTCTCTTCCAACTCTTTGATCCTGTAATTGAAAATGGTAAAACATAATTTTACAGGATTATTTTGAGGCCCAAATGAGCTAAATATATATGATAGCGCTTTGAAAACTGTAACCATATTGTTTTAGTACAGAATATTTTTTATGGTGCTTTACATCACAAATTCAAACCTTGGCTTTAGTAAATTAAAAAAAAAACTTTAAAAAATTTTATCAGTTGACAGATGTTAACTTGGGGCTCAGCATAACCTCCTTCAGGACTCTTTTTGTGTCTGGTTTCTTCTAGAAATTAATGTCATTAAAACAGACCTACAGATGTTTATAGGTAATTAAATTCTCATCTCTTCCTCTTCTCCCTCTCCTTCTTTGTCCCAGGCTGGTAAAGAAAATGAAAAGGTAAATTTCCTGACTTCTCTAATAATATAGAAGCTACACAGTGACTGCTATTCCTCAGATCTGCTTGTTTCTTTATTGGTGTGAGGAGGAGTTTGTTTTGCCATCTGGACAGTCACTGTAAGATGCTAATTAGTTCTGTTTTGCTTAGTTAGGGAAATGTCTGATGAAGAAATCAAAGAAAAGACACTAGCTTCAGCTAAGGGCCATTTAGAAGGAAAGGCACCAGTGGAGAAGGCAGCAATCATACACCAACACCTTGGCCGGCGAGAAATGACAGATATGATCATTGAAACCATAAAATCGAGCCCAAGTAAGTTTTTCAAATGTCTTGAATCACTTATTAGATTGTTTTGTGCTTTTGGATGATTATTTCATACTGTTCAGTAAGCCTATTATTTCAGTCTCTTATAAACCTTTACCATAATTTCTTGTGCTTAATATACCATAGGTAGGTAGGTCCTAATTTGATCTTATCTGAGTACTTATTAAATGAATTCTAACAAAGTAGGTTTGCCTTTATTGAAAGTAGTAGAGTAGGGGCAGCTAAGTGGCACAGTGGATGGAGCTTCAGCCCTGGAGTCAGGAGGACCTGAGTTCAAATCTAGCCTCAGACACTTGACACATACTAGCTGTGTGACCCTGAGCAAGTCACTTAACCCCAATTGCCTAACAAAAAAAAACAAAAAAAAGATAGTAGAAGAACTACCTCTTAATTGAATGACAAATCAGCAGTCAGTTCAAATAAATCTGTTGTTCATTTCCATTATTTTGCTGACCTGCTGCTCAGAGGAATTGGATCAATATTGAAACTCAAATGGCCAAAACTGGTGGGTCTGCTTTTCAAACATATTAGCCTTGAGCACATGTATAAAATATCTTCGTACAAGCGTATCCTGAAAAGTGTAAAGTCCTTAGAAGTTATCAAAAGTGTTGATTTCATTTTTTGAGGGGCACATAGAAATTACAGTTTGAAGTTAGGATTCATTTTTTGTGTACTCATACATGATTATTTGGGGAGTTTGTTCAGATTGTAGTATGTTGAGTTTTCTCTGCCAGATGTGATCATTGAAACCACGAAATATAACTAAGGCATGTTTCCTGAAAGGCCAAAAAATCTTGTAGGAATATATATATACATGATATGTGTGTGTGTATATATGTATATGTATATATATAAAATAAGCTGTATAATCTTATTGAAGTTTGATTGGACTTGTGTGAAATTAGAATCTTTGAGCCCAATTATCCTCCTAATGCAGTTTATAATCTTAGGAAGTTTATCAAAACTTTTGATTTGTGAAAGGTGAGAAGAAAGCTACAATGGAAGAAAGAAAGTCTTCAGAGGCATCATCCTCTCCTGAGAAAAGTAGAAATGGAGATCACGGTAAAGAAATTGCTCCAGATTCTCCCTCTAAGCAACTTCCGGACCAGATTTCATTCTTCAGTGGTAACCCATCCGTTGAAATAGTTCATGGCATAATGCACCTGTACAAAACAAAGTAAGAAAAGCCTTCTTCCTTCTGAATTGGACAAATGTGAGCATGTGCCAGCCACTCTTTTTTCCCTCTGAGGCAGGCTTGGATGGTGTGGGGGCTGGTTTCTGGGCTGGTGGGCTGTAGTGACCGGAGACGGAACTTCAGGGTGATAACATTTCCTTAGTGCTGCCTCTGTGATGATTCTTTGTTTTATGACACTAGGGTTGGTTTGATGGATAGACCTGATGTTTTTCTTAATAGTAATAGTAGGGGTAGATACCTTGAAGGGAGATGTTTGGGAAGAGTATTATTAACATTGATAATAGAATTCCACAGAGAATCCCTAATCTCAATTTAGGCAGTTTTAGCTTCTTCCCTCATCAGACTTTTTACCAAAGCTGCTGCAACAAGTTAATTAACTGATAAACATTTCATTTACTTTTCCAACTCCCTCCTCTGGTGGAGTAATTCACAAGTAGGGCAGTGAAATGACCCAAAGGCAGGTTGCTTGAGGAAAAAAAGGGATACATAGGTAAGTTATTTAGAGCATCCACAAAGTGGATCATCAGCTCTTAATAACTGATAGTTGGCCCGGTGTGGAATAAAACCTCCTGGCTAAGTAGCCTATTGAATGACATCTTGATATTCTGGTGCCTGTCAAGACCCCACTGAGAGAAGCATGAAACTCAGTCAACTCTTCAATGATAACTGTTTTGGTAAATAGTTTTTAGAAATTGGTTCATGGCAGCTAAAGTGAATTTGTACCATTTCAAAGGTTAACTAAAATGTAGGATAGTTTGTTCTCTATTTCATTTGTTGTAACTGGGGTAATAATTTCCATGATCTTCAAAACTGCAAAGCCATTGTGTACATATTCTCATGCTTTTGAATCTCTGTTCTCACATTCAAAGCTCTGCTTCCTCCTCTCCCTCCTTCTCTTCGCATCCCACAGCTGGGCTTCTGGATGAATCAGTGGTAGATGATTTTTTTTTTAAGTGATGAATATTTGTCCAGTACAAATATATAACTTGTCTTTTAACTAAAGAGGTTAAAATTTTCTAGTGGGCAAATGATATGGAAACCTTAAAACTTATAAAGTTTTGCAAATAATTTGAAATGATCATTTGTCCCTTGGGTGTATATGTTCTCAATAAAATAAGTAGTCAATTAGTGGGACATCCTTTTTTTTTATCTGTTATCTTGACCTTAAAATGGCATTGTCTCATTCCGTGTTGTCCAGACTCACCATGGCTCCTCTATTCAAGACAGTCTCATTGTTGTCTCTTTAGTAAGATGACCTCTTTAAAAGAAGATGTGCGTCGCAGTGCTATGCTGTGTGTCCTCACAGTCCCAGCTACGATGACCAGTCATGACCTCATGAAGTTTGTGGCTCCTTTTAATGAAGTCATTGAGCAGATGAAAATAATCAGAGACTCCACTCCAAACCAGTATATGGTACTGATAAAGTTCAGTGCACAGGTATGAGTTCAGATATTAAAGACCTCTTTGTTGCACAAACTGTATTTGGATCTATGTGACTCTTGATTCTAGCAGTATGGGATCAGAACTTTTCATGTAAAATATTTAAAATACATATTTCTCTGGATATAATCTAGGGTGGTATTGTGGACTGAACTCCATTTACGTAGCCAATAATATGAACACTACTGGAATTTCTCTTTTTTTTTCCTATGTGGTGACTTATAGTCTAGTAGTTTTCCTTTAGTAATACATTCAGTAGAACAAGTAATCCCTAACCTTTTTAGAGTTGCAGTACTCTATTTTTCTTTTTTTTTTTCCCCCACACCTCTTCGCCTCCCCTAAAAGAGTGCTGTGAGGCACATCATTTTAAAATTGGTTTTTAAACATGAGAGACCAGGTGTTATGATACCTGTTGCAATTACTAAGCTGTTGCAAAACTGAGATTAGGAATCACTGCTATAGGTAAATACTGAGAAGTTTAATGAAATGATAGCCCATTTTTTCTCCGCTTCTTAAAAGCATGATACTATTAGGTGAAAGAAGAAGGTCCAAAAATTCAGTTCATTGCTATGTGTATATCATATTGTTAGTTTGAAGAAAGAACTCACAAAAACATATTAAAAACTCCAGGTAATTTGAAAATTATAATACTCTTTTTCATTGATGTGTTTTTCCTATACCTGTCATAGTTTGTTTAAAAGCCAAAGAATTTAAAATTGTTGCAATGACTCCTTCATCTTGCCAGTAAAAATCCTCCCTAAATTTGCCCTAATTAAATGGAATCCAGATTAGCTGGATGGCAAAAGGTGTGTCTTCAGTGCTATTAGCCTTGGTCTCTGACATCACAAGAATTTGTAGGTGAAAGGGCATAAATGCCACCACAGGTGTGCAGGCTTACCACCACCCTACTTCCTCCCTAAAGGAATGAAAGATTGATAACAGCAGCAACAGCCACACAGTGGTTATTAGGGAGCAAACTTGGAGAGGAAAAGGCTGTATTTTCTACGGGCTTTGCAACAGTGGTGTGAAATCCTTGCTGGCCACATACTGACTTAGAAAATCATAAGTTGACTTTATAGTGTATTTTTATTCATATTGTTAAACGTTTTCCAGTTACTTTTTAACCAGTTCAGGCCGAAATTCAAGTCTTGACCCTCTGCTCTTACTACACCAGAAAGAGAAAAATCTCTTTTCTTGTGAGGCACAATGATGCTGAGTGTACATATTCATAGCATCTTGTCCATATGAGACATACTTCACAAGTGGAAAATAAAAAAACATGAGTCTCAGCTATCAGGGCTTGAAAGTTTAGAAGTTGCAAAGCTAAGAGTTTAAGAGCATTTAAATCAATCATTTTCATGACATGTGCAAAGCCCTTTAAAAATCATTGGGGAACTTTGCAAATTGAGCAGATGTGATGTCCTAAAACTCTTTTTAGCTGATGTTGTGTGCTTTCTAGAAAAAGTGGGATGAAGATGTGGGGAAAGGAAGAAAGCTGCTGTTTATACAAGATTTAGCTCAGACTCTTTGTGTATCTTAATGACTTTTGCTTCATCAATCATGGTGAAACTTAATTCAAACTTAACCATCAAGGGGCAGCTACGTGGTACAGTGGATAGAGCACTAGCCCTGAAGTCAGGAGGACCTGAGTTCAAATCCAGCCTCAGACCAAACACTTGATACTTAACTAGCTGGGCAAGTCACTTAACCATCAAGTTATTTTGACCTGGGGCTGACAGCACAGAAAACAGATTCTTTGCTCTCAAGTTCATAAGGTCAATGTTGGCCAAATGGAGAAAAGATGTGAATGGGCTCAAAAAAGCACAAATAAAAGGATTATGTCTTCTCTCTTCAAAACTACCAGAAATCACCAAGCTTTATCCTCTTGTTAATTTAATCTAGTCATTTTGCGATCATTTTTTTGCAAATATTTCCATGTAATTAAGTGCCATTTTTTGTACATGAAGATGACTATTGATCCACCATGACTGTGCATTCAGTTGTTTTTCTGGAAGAGATGGTGGATTTGCTATTGTATAGCAGACTGTCCATCTAGTCCTTCTGCAACAAAGTGCTGATATTTATTGGCTAAGTTTAGCAATTAAGTCCAGGGTCAGGTATAGGTGTGAAACTTATTGGTCCATGTGGAGTTATTCCATGATCTTGGTATCATTAGGTCTGTATTCCCATCAACTGATATCATCTGACATTGCTAGAAGGAGCGTTATACATTGCTCTAACCCCCAGTTTGTGTAATAGGCCTTTCCTGGAAATGTTAGCAATCCTGCTCTGAGCACCTGGTAAGCCACTCACAGCACAAAGTTCAAATTTGTCTCATTCATAGCATTCCTTAAAAAGTGGTAAAGATGGACTTTTATTTTCTTCCTCAGGTCCCCTTTTCATTTCTTAAATTTTTTCCTTCAATCTTTTATAACTAGTAGAGCTGCTCTGTACCTTTTCCAACCTCATGTGAAATTTTGTTTTCTTTGGCTTTATTCTATAGGCCATGTGGACAGGTATGTTTACTAACATTTACTATGACCTTTGGGGAATTGAGTTTATAGATGAAGAATTTAAAATTCATCTGGGCATATGAAGGGAGTTCTAAATTTGTTCACATTTTTGACAAAAGAAAATGCACAGTAGGACAGAGTTTGGCAGCTTTTTTCAGCCTCAGCATGCTTAGAGCTGTCTGGAAGGTTTTCTGTTAGGAACTATATAGCAGGTCACCTGCACCTGCTGGACTCTAGACTAAAAAGTATATACTTTTTAGTGTTCCCCAACATTAACAGCATCATATATCCTTGGGACAGGGTCATGTTACAAAAAGCTTCCTATTGCTAACTCCAAAGTGATAAACCAGGAGGCAGCTAGGTGACTCAGTGGATAGAGTACCAGCCCTAGAGTCAGGAGGACCTGAGTCCAAATTTGGCTTCAGACACTTGACACTTACTAGCTGTGTGCACCTGGGCAAGTCTATTTAGCCTGATTCACTTGTTGTTTCTGGTTGTTAAATGAGGCAGAGAAATCCCCATCTTGATTATTTCCTTATTTCATGCCCAGTGTCTTTTACCCTTCTTCTTTTCCTTGGATGAGGAATTCTGGGCCTGAATGGTATTAGAAAGCCATGAGAAGGCATGATGTGAGGTGCCTTGTCTCAGCAGCAACCTGTGCCACTTTAGCCAAGTGTGGTGGTGCAGAGGAGCTGACCCATGTGTCTGGGTACCTCACCTGTTGCCCCTAGTTTCTTCAGACAAGAATTAGTTGTCTTAAGGGGCTTCTTTATGATTACACATTCCAAGAAAAAACTGTGACTGTTAGAGAATGAAGGGGGCCCTTTTTAGTGTTTTCTCCTTTGTAATGTCAGTGTAATAGAGAATTCTGCTTATTAACATCTTACTGAGTTGATTGAAAGGTACTTTGTCCATGAAGCTCCTTTTTTCTGGGGAGGAGAAACAACACTTTAAAATATGAAGCTGATAATTGACAGTTCTTCATCAGATGCTTGGCTCACTTGATTACATTTAATAAACATTAATCAAGATAATTAAAATTGAATCTCCATCCTTCATAGGGCATTAAAAGCACTCTAAAAAACTTTCTGGTGCTGTGAGATAAAGGAGTACTGAGAGCTTTGGGATGAAGAGCATTTCTTTGTTTCCTAGAGATCTTGGAAATTTTTCTCTGAATCTGTGTAGGTTCTCTGTAGTGATAGATTTGTGTGATATTTCCTTTTGCTACTAAGTGCTATAACAAAACAAACTATGTAGATTGGTAGAGCTGATGCAGACCTACTTTCTGTGTTTAGATTTGTACCTCTGTTCATATTTTGCTGACCCTACAATACTGAAGGTGATGAGACATCTAAGTGAGTTCAGCTCTCTCATATGTTCCTAAAAGACTAATTTTTTTTAGTAGAGTCATCTATTCTCTGTCTCCTAAGACCAGACCAAAAGGCAATGACTTATCTACACAAACATATTCCATCTTGTCATTTTAAAGGTGTGTGTATTTAGGAAAGAAGACAGACTCTTTTTCTTTATTCTATTCCACTTGCACTGATGCCTTTTTCCTCTAATGTGATTGTCAACATTTTTTAATAGAGCTCATCTTAAGTAGCCATTAGTTCTGATTTGGTTCCAGGCTTTGCAAAAAGAGATTTACTTTTCAGCTTCTATGAAAATGTTTACTGGTATGAGTGGGGGCAAATTGGTTGTGCCAGTTGAATCTTAAAATCCGAATAGCTGTAGCTTTCTGCGATTAAATACTTCCTGCCACTTCAAGTAGAAAACGTCTGTGGCCCAGAGAACATTGTGGACAGGTGGGATATCGACCTACAAAGGTTCAGATAGCTTATGGATGTGCCTCTAGATTGTCTGTTTTTAGTGGGTTGATTTTTCTAAATAAAAATATTGAAAATGTTTCCTTGGAGGTACACATAAATTGAATGTAGAGGATGTGTCACTTCCTCTGAGTAACCTGTTTCTTCCTTTCCTTCTTTATATTCATAGGCCGATGCAGATAGTTTTTATATGGCATGCAATGGTCGACAATTTAATTCAATAGAAGAAGATGTTTGCCAGTTGGTGTATGTAGAGAGGGCTGAAGTGGTGAAGTCGGAAGATGTAAGTTTGAAGGATTTTCCTGTTTTAAGATTTCTAGAAATGCTCATGAAAAGCAGCAGGATGTGATGAAAAGAACATTCGGGACACATGGGTCCAAAGCGTTGGGAACAAATCATCCTGCCCTTTTGAGCCCTGTTGTCATTACACATAAAATGGGAATAATACATTAACAGAAGTGTTGTGAGGAAAGAGATTATATAAATATTAAATTGTTACAAATGTAAGTTTATGATAGTAAAATAGTTTAGTTTAAAAAAATAAATCAACCATAACAAAGAATAATTATGTTAAGTCACTGTCAATGCCGATCAAGTAAAGCTCGGATGGTTGAATTTGGGGTAGTTTTGGAATCAACTCTAAATCCTCTTCCCATATCTGCATAGCTAGCATTTGCAGTTTTGAAAGCATCCTGTAATCTCCTTGAACGGCTTGCCTTCTGGCAGAGTTCTTTGCCCCAGTTGATTGTCACTTGAGTAGTCAGTTTAGTTGCATTATATTCTAGATTTACATTATTCCAAAGTGTAGTACTTAATATTCTTTATGTTGCATTAAGCTTGATTGAAGTAAAATCATTCAGACTACTACATTGTTAGCTTGAGAATAAATTCTGGGCTTTAGAAAAACTTGCTTACTGGTCAGCTATGAAAAAATTTAATATTAAATTTTGAGGGTCTTTCCAAAAGGCTTCTGGAAGTATGAAGTGATTTTCATCATGTACTATATTTATGTTAGAAGTCTATGTAATGATTGTACATGTATAGCCTGAATCAAATTGCTTGCCATCTTGGGGAGGGACAGGACGTAGGGAGAAAAAAAACTTGGAACTCTATATGTAATTGGAAAAAATAAAATACTATTAAATAGGGGGAAGGGGTCTGTGTAGTTGATGATTTTGTTGGATTGCGTTTTGTAAATAAATCGAGGTGTTTTGTTGTTCCCAGACCCATGTCTTTATGGACTTTAGAGCTGGAAGGTTGGTATGCTTTTGGCTGAAAACTCTCATAATAAATTTAAACTTCCTAGCTGGTAGCAGTCTGTTCATTTGACTTTGACAGTTTATGAACTCGTAACTTGTTGAAATGAAAGGTCGTGGTTACATTTATATCCAGGGTGCCAGCCTCCCAGTGATGGACCTGACAGAGCTCCCCAAATGCACAGTGTGCTTAGAGAGGATGGATGAGTCTGTGAATGGGATACTTACCACGTTATGCAACCATAGTTTTCATAGCCAGTGTCTACAACGCTGGGATGATACTACGTAAGTACGATGCTTTTTTTTTTTTTAAGCTCTAAATATATAAGCCTCTTTGGAATTTAAAAAAAAAGAAGAGGTCTTGCTCTTCTGTTCAGCTTTACAAATCGAGGGTGGTACTAAGCAGATGTCATTGTCTTCCCTTTTCCTTTCTTCTGTCATTCCTGAGAATAATCAGCATTCTTGGACCAAACTCTCTTTAGCAGCATTGAGTTTGGGTTCTGTGTCCCTAGGTGGAATGTGTTTAGTACACCGTGAGTTATTTTTTTCTGTCATTCACCAGAAGCTGAATGACAAAATTTGAAGCTTTTATTTATATGCTCTTTGCCCTGGCCAAGTCTTGTTCAGTAATCATGCTTGCCATCCAACACTGTTGGTTTGTTATTCCAGATTTCTCATCAATGAAACAGCAGCTTCCTAATTACCATTTTAGTCTGTTGTGAGTATTAGGAGTCACTGGCCAGAGGTCATAATCATTACCAAGCAAAAGACATGTTTAAGGTTTCTTACTTGTAATGCTTCAGACGACTTTGCAGGTGAGATTGCTTTGAAGGACAATCCAGAGACTTAACAGTTGCCTGTGCAAACTACCGTGGGGCCTGTTACCAGGAGGCTTAGATCTCTGCCCATATAGCATCCTGACTATACCCTGGGCCTTCTGTACTATGGTCAGCTACCTGGCAAAGAGTTCTGTGTCAACTCTGTGGTAACGTTAGCTCCTCGGTTGTCAAGTGTCACTGAGGATTTAGAGCTGGATGGGATTATCTAGTCTTAACCCTCCTTTTACAGAGATAGAAATGCTGAGGGGAGAAGGAATTTAGAGGCTGCTAGGGGGCGCCACAGTGCACAGAGCACCAGGCCCAGAGTCAGGAAGCTCTAATGAGTCCAAATATGGCCTCAGGTGTTTTCTGGCTGCATGATCCTGTAAAAGTCAATTAACCAGCGCCTGTCTCAGTTCGCTAATCTGTAAAATGAAGATGCTAATAGTAGATACCTCCCAGGGCTTTTCTGAGGGGAAAAAATGAGATAATATTTGTAATGCACTCCACTGAGCACAGGGGACACAAATAGAAGCAAGCCTGCCCTCGAAGACTTTACATTCCAGTGGGGGAAAACAACACAAAGGGTAGGGGAAGAAGACGAGAACGAAGAGGAAAGGTTCAGAGAGCATTGAGGCTTTCTTTTTACTAGTAACATATGAAAGATTGTGGGTCCACAGTAGAAGTAATAGAAAATAATATAAACCCCCCCTTACCTGTGTCAAATAGATAACATTCTTTCTGGTTATTACCATATTACCATTTCACAATAGTTTTATTTACCCTTTTCTACAACAGACTAAACTGAAGGCTTTGTTTTAGGTTCTTTTTCTTCTTAGTAATATCATCCAAAGACTTTTTTAATTCAAGTAATTTGGAAATTTATAACTATAAAATTTGGACATTTATTACTATAAAAAATTCACCTTTCATTGCTGTTTAGCTTAAATGACAAAATGTTTATAGCCAGGAGTTTGCATGAAAATCTTGGATTTAAAAAAGAAAAATGTTTAGGTTTTTGCTTGACCCCCCCCCCCCCCCCCCAAAAAAAATTGCAATTCTCAGACATTGTTGATTGAAAACTACATTGGAAGCTGGTTCTGTATTTATGATGGGACAAACGTAATCTACTTAATAATTTTCACCTAGATAGGGGAAGGGAAGGACGAATATTAGTTAAGCACCTACTACGTGCTGGCCTCTTTGCTAAACTCTTTACAAATACTGTAGTATTTGAGGTAGTTTCCATTATCTTCATTTTACAGTTGAAGAAACCAAGGCAAAAAAAATTTAAGTCACCTGCCAGTAAGTCATACAACCAGTAAGTGTCTGAGGCTGGATTGGCCTCAAGAAGTCTTCTCAACTGGCCCAGTGCTCTATCTACTGCTCCACCTACGTGCCTTGGATCATCTTTGTACAGTAGCATGCCTTATGTATATCAGAAAGCACATTTATGGTGGTTTTTGTTATTTGGTAAAAACTATAGTAGGACGTTTCAGGTGACTTAAGGTAGCCTTGAAAGTGGAGATTGAAGCTGATTTCTTTTTAATTTTTATTGATATCTTTGGCTTTTATTTCATTTTCATTTCCAAATAATATGCTTCCCTTTCCCTTGTAACAAAGAATTTTTTTAAAAACAGTTCTGCAAAACTAACCACATAGTCCCCCACCTCTGCTAAGAAGAACAGGAAGTATAACTCTGGGAATAGCTTAAAAATATAGGCCCTGCAATGATCCACATGTATGCAAAATAAAGACCAGCCCATGTATGTTTGGAGAAGCTTATTAGGTTGGCCACCAGATGATGAATGTTTTTTGGCCTCAGCTATGCATGAAGTACTATCTGCTGAGTCACCATGAGGCTGCAGTCTATATCAGTGGGAGGGCATTCCCACCTGACTGAAATCGAAGATCTTTTGAGGTCTTGAAGTAAAGGCTTCAGGCTAGTAATAACACCCAAAAAATCAATAACATCAGATATTAAACAAACTTGATAAGTTATCTTAAATACCTAATTCTGACTTGTAGATTTCTGAGTGTTGGTCTTGAACTCTAGACAGAAAAATAGAAAGATATTTATAATATGATCTAGGCTTCTCCATCATTTCTCTTCCCCTTGTCCTTTACCTTTTTATTCATAAAGTTTTCATATCAAGATCTTATATTTCTCATATTGTATCTTTGGGTTAAGTAATGTCCTCACTTGTAAATTTGTGAGTTGAGTGTTATCCTTTGTACTATATTGTACTATAATTTATCTGGGGAAAGAGAGGTTATACAAGTCTGAGGTACTACCTCACACCTATTAGACTGGCTAATAGGACAGAAAAGGAAGACAACAAATGTTGGAGGGGATGTGGGAAAATTGAAACACTAATGCACTGTTGGTGGAGTTGCGAACTGGTCCAACCATTCTGGAGAGCAATTTGGAATTATGTCCAAAGGGTATAAAACCAAGCATATCCTTTGACCAAGCAATACCACTATTAGGTCTGTATTAAGCAAAAAGGAGAAGGACCTATATGAACAAAAATATTTATAGCAGCTCCTTTCTGGTGGCAAAGAATTGTAAATTGAGGGGATACCCATCAATTGGGGGTACAAATCAATTGGGCTGAACAAATTGTGGCATGTGATTGTAATGGAATACTATTGTGCTTATAAGAAATGATGAGCAGAATGATCTCAGAAAAACCTGGAAAGATGTTTATGAATTGATGCAAAGCAAAATGAATCAAACCAGGAGGGAGAGGACTTGGAACTCAATTTTTAAAATGAATGTTAAAAATTATTTTTACAAGTAATTGGGGAAAAATAAAATGCTAAATAATTTTTTTAAAAAAGGAAGAGAGGTTATTAGCAGTGTACTCTCTCTGATCATATTCACAGTTTTCACACTAGAAGACAGTGTCTTTAACAATTCTCTTTTTATCTGATCTGAAACATGTTTCTTTATCTTCTTCTGTCTTCTGGTGATTACCCTCATAGGTGTCCTGTTTGCAGATACTGTCAAACGCCAGAACCAGTAGAAGAAAATAAATGTTTTGAGTGTGGAGTTCAGGAAGTAAGTAATGAGTTTTAAAAGAGTGATGAACTCATCTTGACTTACTGGGAATATCCTCTGCTGGGTGCAATTAAATTCCTTTTAGGTCCTATTGAACTATCTTGATCCTCTGGGGGTCTGCATTAAAATCTTTTTTAGGGATCAGGCAGGAAGTATAACTGCATATCTCATTTCTAATGTGCCTCTAATGTTGTACTGTGATTTGATGCTTTTATCTATTCTGTTTGTAATCAGTATGTACTTAATACAATTCTGAAACTTCACTCTCGCTATTTTCTTAGTTTGCTCAGAAAAACAAGATAGGAAATGATTTGTCATTAAAATTGTTCATTGGTCTCAAAATGCATTTGTTCAAAACCCTTAAAGGTACAAACCAAAGTATCCCTCTGTATCTCAGACACTGTATCTGCCACAGTGGACCAGATTTCTTAGTTACATTGACTAATGGTTGCCTTTCTGATTTGTTGACAGAACCTCTGGATTTGTTTGATATGTGGCCATATAGGATGTGGACGATACGTAAGTCGGCATGCTTACAAGCACTTCGAAGAAACACAGCACACATATGCAATGCAACTAACCAACCACCGAGTCTGGGACTATGCTGGAGGTACGAGCACACTGCTGTCACTTTTATCATCAGTCTGCCTACACATTTTATTAGGAGCAGGCATCTTCTTGACTCTTCAGTTTCCCTTTATTACCAGCAGTAAATAGCTGTCATTTTCCTGCTAATTGCTGCAAACATTGATCTCTACTGGCATGGCAGTGTCCCTATGAATAATTTGAACTTGAACAGCATGGTAATTACACCCTACAATTGTCAAACCTCTCACTGATGAAACTGCAGAACCTAAATTAAGCCTTTTTTGGACAGAATATTACCAACACCATCATTTAGATAATTTCAAGGAAAAGTTCTCTTTTTGTGATTTCAAAGCTTATAGAGGCCCACTTCTGTCTAAGAAAACTATTTTGATTATTTTTTCCTCTAGATAATTATGTTCATCGATTGGTCGCAAGTAAAACTGATGGAAAGATAGTGCAATATGAATGTGAGGGTGATACTTGTCAAGAAGAGAAAATAGATGCCTTGCAATTAGAGGTGAAGTATTTTAGTTCTTGAATCAGTGCTTATTTGTGTTGTTTAGCATTCAAACACTGTTTGGACTTAGGATTTGGCTATTGTACCTAGAATTTTATCAGCCTTTAACCTTACAAATTTCTCCACCTTAGTCAAATGACCTAAGGAGTTGCTTTTTTTTTTTTTTTTTTTAATGGCTGATATAGCACATGTAAAGTGTTCTATAACTACACGTAGAGTACTCTTACACATGTGGGCTATTGGGTTTTTTGTTTTGTTTTTTTTTTTGCCCCCAAAGAGAAATGTTTTACCATTAGGTGATAATAAAGTCAAAAGCTGGTAACAGTGTTTTCTTGGTTCAAAAACAATTGAAGAAATGTTCTCCACATTGCTGTGGAAATTTCATCAGAGTATGTGCGCTCCCTTGGTACTTATCACAACCCCTCCACATCTTTTCATCCTGCATAATTTTTTTTGTGGCATTCTCTAGTCCTCCCTGCTTCTAGAAGGTCCTTTAAATGTTAGTATATTGTAGTAGGAACAGAGCAATTTTTACCTTCTTCCTGCTCTGAAGCCTTAGCAGGATATGGAAGTTACATTGGTTTCCTGAAGTCTAGGCCAGCCTGAAGGTGGCTCAGGCTGTAAGAGCTTCAGGTATGGATCTATTGATATGCTATATCTTTATGCCAGTGGAGGGAGACTGTTTGTTAAGTTATATAGGTTGCTATCTGCTTCGATGGAGAGAGTAATTTCCCAGATCAAATGATAGGTCCTGAAATGATCAGTGTCCTCTCATGCTGCCCATCTGTTAACCCTCATTCATACCCCACCACCTCTAAATGGCTATAGATCAATGAAATACTTTAGATGCTATATTCTCTTCTCTTCTTCATTTTTTCTTGACTTATCTCATCTCAGGAATGTTAATAGTTTTTGTTTTTGTTTGGGCAATTGGGGTTAAGTGACTTGCCCAGGGTCACACAGCTAGTGTCAAGTGTCTGAGGCCAGATTTGAACTCAGATCCTCCTGACTCCAAGGCCAGAGTTCTTTTCACTACACCACCTATGATCTACTTTACACCACTTCTTATGTGAAAATCACTTGATTTTATACTCTTGCCTCCTTTAATTTCACAGGCATTTATTAAAAACCTACTATGTGCTAGGTGCTGGATACAGTGGTAACAGTGCGACAGTCCCTGCCCTCAAAGACTGTTGGAGGCACTATTTATCCCCAGAAAAGTCACTGCAGAATAAATAGAGGAAGCCGCTAACAGCTGGGAGGAATCAGGAGAGGCTGGGTGTGAGAAGTGTCACTTGACTGGAATCTGGAAGGGAGCCAGGGATTCCAAGAGGAGGGCGCACATTCCAGGCATAGGGACAGCTTGTGCAAAGGTGTGGAGACCGAGGAAGAATGTTGTGTACAGAGAACAGCAAATAGGCCAGTTTGGCTAGAATGCGGCATGGGTGAGGGAGTGTTGTGTAATCAGCCTAGAAAGATAGGTTGGAGCCAAGTTGTGAAGGGCTGTATAGGCCAGAGAGGAGTTTGCATTTTATCCTAGAGGCAATAAAGAACGACGAAGGTGTCTTAACCAGTGGAGTGACATTGTCAGACTTACACTTCAGGAAAATCAGTAGGGCGACTGTGTGGGGGATATTAGAGAGGGGAGAGCTGGGGGCAGGGAGACCAATGGGGAGGTGATTGTGGTAGTCTGAGCACAAGAGATCATGATGGTATGCAGAGGAGTGGTGTCTGTGTCAGCAAATCAGCAGGCATTAATCACGCACCTCCTGTGTGCCAGACGTTGTTCTTAGCACTGAGGAAACCAAAAAAAAAAAAAAGGCAAAAACATGGTCCCTGCCCTCATGGAGCCCATATTTTGTTGGAAGAGACAGCCTGTAAATGACACTATGCAAACAGTATCTATTAGAAGAGATGGAAGATAGCCTGAGAGAGAAGCCTTAGCAGCCAGGGAGACAAGGAAAGGCCTCTTGCAGGTGAGATTTAGGCTTCGATCTTGAAAGAAGCCCTAGAAACTGAAAGGCAGAAGCGAGGGAGTAGAGGGTGCTGGGCATGCAGGTACTAGCTTGGGAGGTGGACAGCCGATAGACCAGGGTGGCTGCTTCACGGAGTAGGTGGAAAAAGACTGGAAAGGTTGCAAGAGGCTCGCTTGCAAAGGTCTTTCCATGCCCTGAAGAGAATTTAATATTTGATCTTGGAAGTGATAAGATGTGGAGTGTATTGGTGGGGTGGAGGAGGAGTGACATGATCAGCCCAGAGCATTAACTGTGTCTGTTAAGTGAAGGATAGGTTGGAGAGGGGAGAGACTTGAGGCAGGCAGACCAATCAGAAAGTTATTATAGCTGGGCGTGGTGGCACACACCTATAGACCCTGAGCTACAATGGCTCTAACAATGTAATTCAAAAGAACAACTACAAAGAATCTTTAAAAATTACAAAAACCAAGCTTGGGCCAAAAGAAGAGATGAGAGAAAACGTCATCTTTTTTAGAAGGAGAGATCCACAGGTGTGGAACATTATACGTAATGGCAAATCTTTTCAATTTGTTGATCAGTTTTATTAAATTATTTTTCCTCTTGGGTTTTTTTTTTTAAACAAGGGATAGAAAGTGAGAAGGGGGAAATCTAGGCCACGTAAAAACAAAATGAATCAATAAAATCTATTTTTTAAAAAAACTTCACGGGGCAGCTAGGTGGTGCAGTGAACAGAACACCAGCCCTGTATTCAGGAGGACCTGAGTTCAAATCTGGCCTCAGACACATAACACTAGCTGAGTGACCCTGAGCAAGTCACTTAACCCCATTGCCTAGCAAAAAAATAAATGAATAAATAAGCTTCACAATTGGGATGCACCCTATCTTTTTAGACTTACCATATGGACTCTGTGATCATGCTAAACTGGCCTCACCCTTGACGATCTGTGTCCTGTCTCTGTACCTTTGCACTGATTGTACTCTGTGCCTAGAATCCACTCACTCCTTATCTCAACCCCCTAAAGTCCCTACTTTCCTTAAAATCTCAATTTAAGTATCCTGTTCCACATAAAGCCTTTCCTTTAAGCTGTACACACACATGAGCGCACCAATTCTCTCCTAACCCTAATCAGATTGATTGTAAGAAAATCAAACCCTATAATGCTTGGGGTTTTATACTACTTGGGGTATTGTGGAGAAAAGCCAGAAAATAGTTAATGCAATCAGATGTTTTTCTCCTAATATTAATGATCTCTAACACATATACCAGCTTCCCAAGCCATCTTACAAATGTCACTAATATGGTAGTAAGCGTGGGGGAGGTGGGATTCCTAGAGTGAAAACTCTTTCCCCTAATGGAGCTCAGCAGTTCATTTATATCTTATAAAGAGAGATTTCTTTAAAAGAAGAGACTGAGAGCTTTTGATTTGTCCATTGAGGTCACATAGCAAGTGTGTGTCCCCATCAGGGCTTGAACCTAATGACAAAACTGACAGTCATACCACTACATCATGCTGCCTTTTGCTGTCTTTTACTGCTTTTACATTATGACTGTATGTAAATTTATGTTAATGGCCCATGAGATATAGCTGACATAGGTCATACATGCTAGGAAATATATATGTATGTATGTATGTAGGTATATGTCATTAAGAAAAAGATGGAGTCAAGTCCAGCATATTTAGAATAACAGACTCAACCAAGATAAAATGTCACTTTTATTATTAGGTTTCTGTATAATTATTTTTGGTTCGGCTTTCTAAATAGATTTCAGCAACATGCCAACAATTGTTTCATATCTATTTATATCTGTGTTATTCTTTCTGGTTCTAGTATTCCTATTTACTAACCAGCCAGCTAGAATCTCAACGAATCTACTGGGAAAACAAGATAGTCCGGATAGAAAAGGATACTGCTGAGGAAGTAAGTCTCCTTGTTGGTAACTGGGGAAAGACTATTGTGGTCTCTAACACTGTGGAGGTGTTGGGGTGAGAGGTGGAAGGGAAAATTTGGGAGGAGGTTAATTCTAAAATCTTCCCAATCTAAAATCCTTCCCAATGTGCTATTAATTCTAAAATCTTCCCAATCTAAAATCCTTCCCAATGTGCTATCAAAAGAAGTGTTTTTCCTGTTAGGTGGAAATATTTAAGCCCCATTTTATTTTGAAGATTTAACCTTTTTTGTTTTTAATCTTAATCAAGTTATCTAGTGCTGTGTATAGGTCTTTTTTTTTTTTTTTTTTTTGTAAAGAGCATAAAGAATTGTCATTTGAATCAACCAGATGGTTCGGCAAAAGAGCTAATGCACAGAACTGAACGTGATTCTTAGGAACATACAATGGTGCTGCATATGCACCATTGTAATTTAAAGGAAACAAGATTTGGCAGACATACTAGGACTTTAGAAATTGATTGTGTGAACCATATACCAAGATAAGGTTAAAATGGGTAGATAATTTAGACTTAAAGGGTGATACCATAAGCAAATTAGAGTTAGCAAGGAATAATTTACCTATCAGATGTATGGATAAGGGAAAAATTTAGGACCAAACAAGAGAGAGCGAGATCATTATGAAATGTGAAATGGATAATTTTGATTATATTCAATTGAAAAGTTTTTGCAGAAACAAAACCTATGCAACCAAAATTAAAAGGAAAGTAGAAAACTGGGAAGGAAATGTACAACAAGTATCTTTTTATAGGGGCCTCATTTCTCAGATATATAGAGAACTGAGTCAAATTTAAAAGAATATAAGTCATTCCCCAATTGATACATGGTCAAAGAATATGAACAGGCAGTTTTCAGGTGAAGAAATCAAAACTGTCTATAGTCCTATGAAAAAATGCCCTGAATCACTACTGATTAGAGAAATGCAAATGAAAATAATTCACACCTATCAGATTGGCTAATATGACAGAAAAGAAAAATGATAAATGTTGGAGAAGATGCAGGAAAATTGGAACACTAATGCATTATTGGTGGAGTTTTGATTTGTTCCAACAATTTTAGAGAGCGATTTAGAACTGTGCCCAAAGGGCTATAAAACTGTGCATACCCTTTGATCCAGTATTACCACTACTAGATCTGTATCCCAAAGAGATCATAATAAAGGGAAAAGGACCTATTTGTACAAAAATATTTATAGTAGCTCTTTTTGTGGTGGCTAAGAATTGGAAGTCAAAGGGATGCCCATCAATTGGGGAATGGATGAACAAGTTGTGGTATAAGATTGTAATGGAATATTATTGTGCTATAAGAAATGACGATCAGGATGGTTTCAGAAAAACTTGGAAGACGTACATGAATTGATGCAGAGTGGAGTGAGAAGATCCAGGAGAACCCTATACACAGTAACAGCAGTTTTGTATGATGAACAATTGTGAATGACTTAGCTATGCTCAGCAATACAATTTTTTTTTTACTATGTGCCTTATTGGTGTAGACACTATTTCCCTGGGGGTTTCAGTTCAGTAAGCATTTATTGAGCACCTACTGTGTGTGAGGCACTCTGGAAAGAGGGTAAAAGGGAGGTAGTCAGGTTCCAGAAGGGTGTTTAGTATAGTGATTACTAATCTTTTATGATTTCTACATTTCTTCATAAAGTAGACTGGGTAGCAAATTATTCCTTTAAACTGAATTAAAATAATTTTGATTAAAGAATTTTGTGACCTTCCTTTTGATAAGTGGAATCCTCCCAGATATTACAAAACTGGAACTGAGAACCACTTTTCAGTTGGATAGGCCTTCCCCAGACCCCAGGATCCAAGCCACAGTCTCTCTTTGCTTGGACTAATGCCCAGTTGTTGTGTGACTTTTGGATTACCTGCCACTTAACTTGTGAAAGAGGAGGAACCAGATCCATTGAGTTTCTGATAAACTCAAGCTCGAATTATGCTGTCACAGCCACATCTTTAATAAGAGAAAAAAAAAACTAAGACATTACTCTTCTCAGCAAGAGAGATGCTTAATGCTAAGGATTTATAATTTATAAAATATTTCATATTCTTTGAGGGTGTGTAGATTGTGATAGGTGGGAAAGGGTGTGCTCTTCAAGGGTCTTGGGCTGTTGTCATTCCCTCTACTAAGTTGCTAGTGCTTTCTCTCACTTCAGGTGACCTCATATAATACTTGTTTGTGTATCTTCACTGTAATTCATCACTGAGCCCATACTTGAAGCCTTTTTGGCTTGGTAAAACTGGCCAGAGCTTGTGTTCATCTGTAATAGCCTGGAAAGAACCCAGGATCAACCCTTCTTCACACTAAGTAAGGCATTAAAGTATCACTTTAACGGTTGTACTTTCCTTACCCTTTTAACGATCCCTAAAAATTAACTGATTCCATTCAAACTGCTATGGAAAATGACCTTGACAGAGCCAAAGGTCAACCTACTGGCAATTTGTTAGAGACTAAGGAGAGATGTATAATGGAACCTACTCTACAGCCTTGATCCCAGGTTTTATGGTGACTAACACTAGTTTTGCAACTTAGGACACTTTATGCAAAGAACTCGTAGAGGTCATCTCATGGTATTGTACCCTGTAGGATTTTTTTGGATTAGTTGCTTCATAACAGCGATGCAATAAATAAAGGAGCCAGTACAGACAAAATTTTGAAATCAGGCCTTCTTACCACAGGGCCCTACTAGAAAACTTTGACTTTTAATGAGTTTTCTGCTTTTTGTGTACAGTTCTTGATTAACCACGAGTTGGTTGTCTAGGTGACACATTATTCTAGCCCTTTTGTTTTTCCTTCCTCCTGTCTTTGACATTTTTACTGGCCTTTAGAAATTCAGGCTGGGAGTCTATGAGAAGAGGTAAAATCAAAGTCATTTGACTTATTGTTTGTTCAGTCAAGTCATTTAATTGGTTTTTGGGTTTTGTTGGGGTTTTTGTCTCTTTTTGTTAATTTCTAGTAAATTTCTAGTAAAAAGTAGTACCTAGCTGAAGAAGGCCAAAATTAACTGAATTTAAATTAATGTTGTTCAATTAATACAATAAAAACAATATTGTAAAGACAAACAACTTAGGAAGAGCTCTCATCAACACAAGAACAAACCACAATTCCAACCAATTCACGATGAGACGTTGTTCTGACTTAAGTGCTTTTTAATTGTAGTGTTCTTTTTTTTTGCTGAAACTTTTTACCTAGTATTGTTATATTGCACTGCAATAAGAAGAGGCCATAGGCATATTAACATGTTTAGGAGAAAATGTCAATAGGGCAGATGCTGTGGGTCACATTACTAAATCTATCTCCATCTTGACCTCCCTTTTGAATTCCAAACATGGATCTCTTACAGGACATCTCATTGTGGAAACCTCAAGTTGTACATGTCCACAACCAAGCTTATTATCTTCCTGTTCAATCTTTTCCTCCTCCTAAGTTCATTATTTATGTCTATAGCATCGCCATTCATTCTTATCTTCCTTGTGCATGTTAATCTTTTGACTCTCAAACATACTAAATGTTAACCATATGCCAGACAGTGTGTACTGAAAATACAAAGACAAAGAGCAGTTCCTGCCCTCAAGGAGTTTACATTCCAATTGGGGAGACAACATGTGAATAACTAGATATGTACTAGATATACACAGAATAGATGGAAGATGCCTGTGGGACAAAGTGTTTCGAATATCCAAGAGGCAATTGGAGATGTATGTATGACTGTAGCTCAGGAGAAAGACTGGAGCTAGATATATAGTTCTGAGAATCATTTCCATAAAAGTGATAAATGAGAGCTGATGAAATCCTTAAGCAAAGGAGGATATAGTTGAGGATGATATCTGATTGATGTGAAAGGAGGAGAGAAGGAGAAGTCTTAGAGAATGACCTCAATATTTTTGTTGTCATAGGAGGTTAGGTCCCCTCTACTGAGAGGGTGGAGAAAGGGAGCCCCATATGAGACTTAAGGAAAGAAGACAAGTTTGGAACAGCTTTTTTTGGTGGGTGGAATAGCAAATTGATTAGGAAAGTATAAAAGAATTGCAGCTTTTCTCAGTAGTACACAAAAAGGAACAAAGGAGGGGGATGGGTGGGAGTAATCCAAATTTGGAATTTGGCAGGGTGTGATTGGTGATAGGACATGAGGGCAAAGTCTCAAGGGCATCTCTGCATTATCTCTTGTATTTGTCTTATCCTCTTGTGCCCTATTGTGGCATAGACATTTTTCATCAAGAGTTTATTTTAAATTTTATATCTCTCATTGATTTTCTTTTTTGGTGAGGCAGTTGGGGTTAAGTGATTTGCCCAGGGTCACACAGCTAGTAAGTGTGAAGTGTCTGAGGCTAGATTTGAATTCAGGTCCTCCCGACTTCAGGGCCAGTGCTCCATCCACTGTGCAACCTAGCTGCCCTTTCTCATTGATTTTCTTGATACAATTTCCAGGAAGCATAGAGATCCTGTGGATGGTTGAGAAGTGTTTGATAAAGAATAAGTTAAACCCCAAAGAGATCAAAGGAAGAGGAGAAGGTCCTATATATATAAAAATATTTATAGCAATTCTTTCTGTTGTGACAAAGAACTAGAAACTAAGAGGATGCCCATCATTTTGGGAATGGTTGAACAAATGATGATACATGAATGTAATGGAATATTATTATCCCATAAGAAAAAATGGAGGTTGATTTTAGAGAAACTTGGTGACGACTTCTATGAACTGATGCAAAGTGAAGTGAGCAGAACAGGAACAGTTTATACCATAACATCAAAAGTATAAAAATTAATAGTTTTGAAAAAACTTAAGAATTCTGATCAACATAGTTGATGAAGGATGCTGTCCACATTCTGGCAGAGTGATGACTAATATGTAGAATGAGACACATGTTTTTTGACACAGCCAATGTGAATGGGAATTTGTTTTGCAGTGCTTAATTGTTACAAGGAATTTTGATTTTGTTTTTGTTTGGGTAAATGGGGCAGAAAAAAAATGCTTGACAGTGGGGAGGGGGGGAACCATGTTAAGATGTTGACCATCTCGGGGCAGCTAGGTGGCGCAGTGGATAGAGCACCAACCCCGGACTCAGAAGGACCTCAGTTCAAATTTGGCCTCAGACACATAACACTTACTGGCTTTGTGACCCTGGGCAAGTCACTTAACCCCATTGCCTAGCAAAAAATAAATAAATGAGATGTTGACCATCTCTGTTATAATTTAGTTGTTCAAAGTCTAGAAATTACCATTGAAAATAATAGCTGTCAATGACAGATTTACAGGACTTTGTCCTGCCTGAAGTATAGATATGATATCTGTTTGTACTTTCAGATTAACAACATGAAGACTAAGTTTAAAGAAACAATTGAGAAATGTGATACTCTGGAGCATAGACTCAATGATCTCCTAAAAGAAAAGCAATCTGTGGAAAGAAAGTATGTATTTGGTTCTGTATTTAAAGGATTTTTTAAATAAAGCCCTCAAATAATGGAATAATTTCCATAACAGTTATGGGAGCATTCTAAATAATATGCAGTAGTGTTAATACTTAGAAAAATGTTTTCATTATCAGACTTTCATGGCCCAACATATTCTTTCCCCTTTATATAGTACCTGCCTGCTTTTGGACCTCCTGTTGAGTGGCAAATGGGGTATTTATCTTTAAAAGTCAGAATAATTTAAAGGATATTGTGAAATATAGTTCTCTCTTCTCGGTATCTGTATGATTAAGATGTGTTAATATAGTCTCCCTTTTTTGTCTCCAGGAGCAATTTCTCTGTTTCCATAGTTAGCTGTTCTTAAGAACATATGGATAACTGGATGGAGTCATCCTGGTATATATAGTAAAGAGGGCTCTTCCAGGCCAGAGATACAGTGTACCTTAAAGGGGGAAGGGGGGGGTTGATGAATGCTGAGCAAAAGATTAACCAGCTGTAGGTCAGAACATAGCCTGCTGGAGGTGTTTGGGAAGAAAGGCAAGTATTATGGAGTTAAAGGAGTTGTACTTGGTTTTCTGGGTGCGCTCCAGAAGTAGGTGTTTATTTTTTCTGTGCCCTGAGAGAATGAGAGGCAGGTCCATAGGCCACTTAGTCTTGAAATTAATTTTAAGAGCATAATCCCCCTCCCTGTGTAGTGTATCCATTGAGGTCAAAGCCTTTGACTTTCCAAGAATGCTACTTTTCCTCATAACTTCCTTGTCAGTACTGCCATCTCCCAGTCACCCATCCAGCTGCAAACAGAACTACTGGAAAGGATTAATAATTGTAGCTGGGCTATAACATGCTCGTGAATTTTCAGATCCAGATACTTTTTTTTAATGTTCTAAATAATCCGTGAGTATGTTATTGTGATAGTTTAAATGTGTTAGCTAGAGAGAGTACTGCTCAGACAGACTTGATCCTAATGGTAGTGAAATGTTCTGCCTCACTAAGGTGGGAGAGGACTTAGATGCTAAAGAAACTCTGGAGCCTTGGCTCCTCCATTGGTTTGCAGAACAGAGAGCTGATGGAAAATGTGCCTTTGTGTTGCTTTGTTTTTTGAAAGGTGCACACAACTGAACATAAAACTAGCCAAACTCTCCACTGAGCTCAAAGAAGAGCAAGAAATGAACAAGTGTTTGCGAGCCAATCAACTCCTCCTGCAAAACAAGCTTAAGGAGGAGGAGAAAGTTCTGAAGGAAACTTGTGATCAGAAGGACATGCAGATCACAGAGATCCAGGAGCAGCTGCGTGATGTCATGTTCTACCTGGAAGCCCAGCAGAAAATTAATCACCTGCCAGCCGAGACCCGGCAGGAAATCCAGGAGGGACAGATCAACATTGCCGCAGCAAGCTCTCCTGCTGTCGGAGGTACAGGAAAGCTGCCCTCCAGGAAGGGCAGGGGCAAGAGGGGCAAGTGAGCCCCTTCTAAGCAAGCACTTGTGGCTAAGACAGTGGCCTCTGTCACCAGGAGGTTGTCAGGGGCAGCCAGCTCAATGTGAGGTTGGTTACTGAATAAGCAAGTACACCAAGTGAGGATCAACATGAAGTTGTTTGGATCGTTTTTTTCCTAGTGTGTTGTTTAATGAGTTATAGGGGTTTATGACCAGGACAGCTAATGGGAATTGGCAGTATTTAAAAGGGTTTTTCTTTAAACTTATATTTAGCTAACCTCTTGACATGTTTTAATTACCATTTTACCTTCCAAATTTACCCAAAACTAACTCTACATTTTTCAGCTGTACTTAGTGAGTTGGCATATTTCACACTTAAGTCCTGGGGTCAATTTTTGATATTAAAAAAATGTCAGTGAAGATTTCCTAGGCACAGGAGTACCAAAGGACCCTTGGAGCAGTAGCAGCTGCAAAGGTCAAAAAAACAGGCACATTTAAAGCTGAAAAAGCCAGTTTGGTCGTTCCAGAAACATTTGTCAGAAGTTGGTCCTGTTGGATACCGATGGACATAACTCCTTGATGTATGTGCCCTGCTGGAGGGAAATGGGAAGGTCATCCTCTTTAAGGAAGTTTGTAAACCAGGCATAGATGCATGTTACTGTGGCATCTATTACACTTCTAGGAATAGGCCGGGGGCGGGGGAGGGGGGGGGAACAGACAAACAAAATTGGGCGGAACACACTCACTATAGACATGGCAACAGCATTTGCACTTTGTTTTGGGTTCACCTCATTTTGTCATGACTCCCTGAAGTCTTAAGGTTTAGTGATTGTTGCCCAGAGTCTTACCGATAGCCCCCTCCCTCATAAGTGCTCTTGCTCCAGCAGATTGGACATCGAGCCAAATAAACTGACCAAGCGAAACAGCCAAGTTGGATGTTTAAATGAGGTGGGGGTATATGGCATACCGCACCTGAATTAGAGAACAGGGAATTTGACATGGCCTCTTTACAAATGATCATTTCTTTTGACGTCCAGTGGTGGGTCAGCTACTAAATTGAGAACCTCAACCTATAGCATGACTGGTGGATATGCAGAGCAGAATTAAAGTGAGAACAATATTGGCTGTCAAGTCTTTAGCCTTGAGTAAAGCAAACAGATAAATTACCCAGCAAATTCTGTTAGGTCCTGGATTTTTTAATGCGACAGTTAATCAATTTGTCTCCAAATTATCACATTTCAGAATTATTTTTTGATGATGATTGGGCTACATCTTCACCTTTTCCTTCAAAATCTCATCTACAGCTTATTAGTGCACCAGCTGTATCTTTCCCTTTTGTTCTTCTGACTTGCTGCCACAGCATTTCTAAGGAACCTTTCTCACATAAATGTTCTTAGACATTCTCAGTCCTTTCCTAGTATAGACCTATTAGACAGGTTGACTTGGCCTTAGGTTGACTTAAAACCTTAGTGGGCGTGTAAAACAGAGTCAGATTCTCTCTCCTATAGAAATTCTATTTTATTTAAAATATATTTTTACACTAGCTAGAATCCTGCTTTTTGGCCAAGAGCTTGTGTTGCATGTTTGACCATTCAGAAGCTGGAATAGTGATCTAATTTAGAGAATTAGAATTGGTTTAGAAACGTGCAGTATCCTTTCTACAAGTTCACCACACCATAAAACAATAAAATAACCAGGTGGGAAAGCAATGATTTTTCAGAAGGAGTAGAACTAAGTAATAATATGAAAGGCTATACCAGGGAAATAAAGAAAAGGTAAAGGTAATAATTGGAGGGAAAGATGTCTTATCTAGGTAGATATCATAAAGTCTTAACTAGACAAAGTATATTTTTAAAAATTGTTTGTTTTGAAATTCACATATTTTGAATTTAACTGAGTTTCATTGGGGGTGGGGGGGGGAGGTGTCAAGGGGAGGGAAGCTGCTGCGTTTTCCAAGATGGAAATGGGCCACTTAACCATCCCCATACTGCCTTGGACAGGGAAGTTGCATTAAAATTACTCAGCTTTGGAATGACTCTTGTCTGAGTGTGATTTTTATGTATCGAATTGAAAACTGATTAGGGAGATGCATTCGTTAATATTTTGGGAGAGTATTGGTGGCCTGGATTCAGGAGCTCCCATCAGCCCCTGGGCTTAGGTTAGAGAAGCAACGAAAGTGGCTTCTGTACACTCTTAGTCATTCTGTCACTTAGACAACAGAGACTCTGGCTGGAAAACAATTTATCTTGGGACGGGAGCCTTCCCACTTTGTTGTCAAAGAGCTCGTTCACTGACAGACATAGAGTGTGCTGGGCCCTTTGAGGAGCCTTTCCCTTGCAGAGCACCTTGGGTCATCTGCAAGACACATAGTATATCTAGTCCAACAATCATTTATTAAGCACCTGCTGTTCCAGTGGTTGCAGTCACAAGGACCATAAAACTGTTCTTGTCCTCAAGGAGCACATATTCTAGTGGGGGGATACGTCCTGTAAGCAGCTAAATAAATACATAGTTTGAGGAGAAGGAAGCAACAGTTAATAGCCAAGCAGATTAGAAAAGGCTTCCCAGAGCAGGTGACCCCTACAGTCACAGTGGTCACCTCCTTGGCATTCACACCTTCACTGGGGAGTTCCACACACTGGGAGACACAGTTCAAAGGTAGGCAGACCACAGTCAGTTCTTGGAGGTCTGCATGGGCTGTAGAAGTATGTGTTGCAAGTGTCCCTCATCAGATGGCTAGAATAGACTTATTTTCAGTGCCTAGCACAATGGGGCTTTCTCTTTCTTCGCTGTCACTGCTACCTGGGGTCCAGTGAATCACGTGGAGTGGACCCAAGCAGGATAAAGTCATGATCATCTGTCATGGCTAAGGCTGTGGTCTAGGAACAGGGAAAATGCACACGTTCTGATCTCAGACATTTGTGAACCTGCGCCTCTATGTAAGTCAGCTAAGCTCTGAGGCTAGTGACGTGCACAGTGCTCTACCCCAGAGTTGTGAGAGTCAAATAAGAACATTGTGAAAAGTGATGCACAAACCTTAAAATGCATTATAAATGGCATGGTTAAATAAATAAATGGCAGCCATTGTTACTGTCATTACCTAGTGCAGCTAATAATTGTCTGTGGCCAGATTTGAACTTAAGAAGATGACACCCAGTGCTCTATCCACTGAGCCATCCAGATGCTCAGAGCATTAATTAAGCACCTACTGAGTGCCAGGCAGTGTGCTCAACATTTTCCAAATGTTTTATTTGGGAAAATGGATTAAGAGGCTATTGTAACAGTCTGTGTAGGTAATAACAAGTGTCCTACCAGGTGTCATTGAGAAGAAGGAGGAGGAGAATGGAGGTGAGAAGTGTTAGTCCAAGCAAGTTGACTTGGTGATCTATCAAGCAACTTTTCCCAGGGCCTCCCTCCAAAAATTGTTATAATCTTTGAAGATAAAACATGTCATTTGCTAATACAGATTGCCCATTGATGTTAGGAAGAATCAGGAGCAAGATTTCTGCACTAACTTGTTTTGATTACAAAAGGCAGTCTCTATTAATAACGGTAGCTGACATTTATATAGTACTGTAAGGTTTGCTGAGTGCTTTGCACAGTGCCTGAGAGCATATAGCAAGCACTTAATGTTTATTTCCTTCCTCCTTCCGTGCCCTCCAAAATTACTGAACTGTGCATACCCTTTGACCTAACCTATACCCCAAAGAGATAATAATAGTACTTATATAGTACTTTTGAGATTTGCAAAGCATCATCTTATCCTCATGACGACCCTGGGAAGTTGTTTGTCCTTTGTTTTGAAGAGGATCAATACATTACGGAGTGATATCTTGCCGTGATTCAGCTTTAAGTGAGGCAAAGTTGTACCAAGTCTTCATCCTCACTCTCTCATTAAAGTCCAGTGGCAAGAAGTCAGCATGATTTTGGTGACAGCCCAGGATGCAGTGGATGATCTTGGTGTCTTCATGTCTGACCAGGCTCTAAGCCTTCTACAGCACCTGCTTCCACTGCCTTTTTGGCCATTGGAACAAATTGTCCTCATCCAACCATTCCTTCACATGCTTGGAGTAGACATCCCCCAACTCACTAACCCTGTTGGTTACCCTCAACCTGGGTTAGCCTGTCTGCCAAGATGGTTTTCCCGGGGTGTGGCAGCTGTGCGTGCTACAGTTTCTTGGAGCCACAGGTGAGAGTTGGGTAAAGGTGGAGACCAAGGTGGATGAGCAGCCCTGAAAAGGGCTTTGGCAAGTCCTCATACCAGAGGTACTGATCCTCCTGAACGCTCCATACACCCTGTTACTGTTCTCGTTTTACAGGTGAAGAGACTGAGAGGAGTTAGTGATTTGCCCAGGGACATATAACTTAGTAATTGACTTAGGCAGGATTTGAACTCAGGTTTTCTTGACTCTAGCTGCCTCTCAGGAAAGGGAAAAGGACCCATCAGTACAAAAATACAGCACCTTTTTTTTCATGGCAAAGAACTGGAAAATAAGGGGTCCCATCATTTGAGGATTATCTGAACAAGTTATGGTATTTGAATGTGATGGAATTTTGTTGTGCTATAAGAAAATTATGAAAGAGAAACATGGAAATCCCTGTCTGAACTGATAAAATGTGAAGTGAGCAGAACCAGGAGAACAATTTAAGTAATGAAAACAGCATTATAAAGACAAACAACTTTGAAAGACTTAGTCCAGAGGACCCATGATGAAACATGCTGCCCACCTTCTAAGAACTGGCAAAGTATGAAGAATGAGACATTTGAGGATATGGGCAATATGGACATTGGCTTTGCTTGGCTGTGCATATTTGTCACAGAGGTTTGGTGTTTGTTTTTAATGGAAGTGGGGAGAAAAAATAAATGCTTACTGGGAAAAAATCAAATTTTAAAAAGTGCTTTATATATATTTTCACCTGACGTTCACAACTTTATGAAGTAAATACTACAGGCATTATCCCCATTTCTTTTTCTTTTTTTGGTCTGCCTCTTTTTTTTTTTTTTAATTGTGGAACCTAGTTGGCTGGTCTGTAACTCCATTGTAGAGAGTTGCAAGAGGCCCAGGGTCAGAAAACCAAAATGTGTCAAAAGCAAGGTCTTCTTGACCCTAAGACCAGCCCTCCT